CGCAGACAATTATTAAAAGGAGCAGTAATAAACTACCGGAAACTGACGAGATGATCAATCAATTCCGAGAAAGTTAGGTCGAAGGCAAACGCGAAGAAACTTCTGTTAACATCTATCGGCTTTATGATCGCGACTGACAATGAGGCCATAACTCTGATTTAGTAAGTTAATCCCTTTAGCGGAAACACGAATAGGGTCGAGCCCCCTCCCCCTTTGTCCCCACCCCTTTTAATTAAGAGCGCAATCATTCCGTCGTAATCCAATACCGAACTCGCCCTGTCCATCGCAATTTCTCCCCGACTCACCAGTCCTAAAGTTAAATTTCCCGTGAAATAAAAACACCGCCGCATAGTGTCGTTCACCTACCCCTTGTCCACCACCCCCAATTCGCCTTTCATTGGAAATCGCTTTTTAATCGCGTTCTCGCAAAACGCCAAACTTTCGCGCGCTTTTAAGTAGTAGAGCCGTTCGATTTATCCGCCACTTCAAAAAATACTTTTATTTAGTTTGCAATCCGAGCGTTATTTACTGTAACGCGACTTCAAACGGCTGTATATCCGTTCTTGTCGCGGACAGGGAAAACTGTTGTTTAGAGAAAGTTGTTGAGTACTTTATACTCTGTGAAAATACATCCGGCTAAAATACCAAAGAACTTGTAGTTTCAGAGATTTGTAAACCTTCATGGAATTCATTTGACATAAAATATAAGAGAAGATCACAATTTTTAATTCTTTTTATCATTGAAAAAAGATATTACCAAAAATTATTTAATACTTACATTTAGTAAAAAAAAGTTATTAAAATTTTACAAAACTTAAAACTCTTTTTAAAATTTATCATACATTATTAAAAAATAGTATAAATTGATATAAAAATTGAGATATACATATATGATTTTTAAAGTATATCGCGAAAAAATTTTATTCCAAAATAAAGAAGATTAATTGTTTTCATATTCATGCTAAAAATTTTTAATAATATAAGACTTTTATAGTGCATTGATTTATTTACTTACTAATTTTCGATTAAATAAATAATGTCTTTTCTAACTTTACACATAAATGTCTATAAAATATTTAAAATGTGATAAATAATTATTAGCAAAATTATTTAATAATAAATAGATTTGTCTAAAATAAAAGTAATTTATAGCTTTTATGAAAATAAGTTATTTTATTCATTACTACGTGTAAATTTAACTTTTCTCTATTTTATATTTAATTATAATTAGAATAATCCGTAGATTTAAACACATACACAATATTAAAGTGAGAGAAAACGAGAATAGCAATAATGTAATATAAATATCTATATAATATTATACCATGTAAGTGCTTAAGACTTTCAAAGAAAATAAAAGGAATATTACGATAGAGTTTCGAAAAAACGGTTTCCCAAATCCTTCGAGACGCTATTTTCCGCAGTGGAAATGGAACGATGCATTATACCTTTCGGAACGGGTAAAAATGTGGGGGATCAAGCGTCCGAATTGCGCGTCAGCTGATTGAAAGGCATCCGGTGACGTTGCCGAAAGGCACCACACCACGTGACACCTTCGCCGAAATATGAGGACATAAATTCCTGGTACGCTGACCTCAAATGGCTACCATTAAGCACCTCAAGATTCCCATTTCAACTTTAAAGTATCGAAATCATGATCAAATGATCCTTAATGTTTCCCATACAAAAGAGAAATGTCAAGATCGATGATTCGAATGCTTCAATACGTATTCTCGACAATTTTTATAAAAAATCTTTTAAGAGTATTTTAATTATCAAAGGCCAAAATCGTATTTTTAAAAATAAGAAAACAAGCATATTTCAAAATTGAGAACTAAAAGATAGTAGAATTTAAAAAATGTAAGAATAAAAAATTGAAAAATCAATTAAGATTAAGAATTCAGAATTTTGGAAACACAAGTTAGTGTGTTTGATCCTTACGACCAAAAGATTACTTTCGGAATATAAAAAATCACACAAAAATATGTCAATAAACTCATATTTGCAGAAATATGTCAATAAACTCATATTTACATTTCTCTCTACATTAAAAACATTTAACAAGCTTGTGTCACTTTTAATTTGGATAGTTACACGAGTTATTCGTTTCATAAATAACAAACTTTTAAAACTCATCGGTTTTAAAACATCTAAATTCAAAAATTGGAATTATAAACATTAAATTCATTTAAGAAAATCTTTTCCAGAGAAATTGCAGAACACTATCTATATATAATTTTATACACCTTACTACAGCGAGAAAACTCCACTTGAGTGAAATGATTAATTCAACAGAGACCTTTTTTATTCGTAATTGTCTTTACGATACGACATATAACATTACGGACAAAATATTGTCTCGAATTCTTTTTCCGATTTATAAATCGTTTGAATCGACAAGTAATAGTTGAAACTCACGAAGGCTTGTCGCAATTAAACTAAGTATCGACCAGCGATGATCGCCACAGCACGGGCACGCACTTTGGCGACGTGACCGGCGTCCGAACCATTCCAAAAGAATCGCAAGTCCATCCACGTAACATAAAATATAGTAAATCGGGCAGAGAGTAATGCCCGGCTCGTAAATAACATGACATATGTTCGTTGGAGGCACGGCTGGCATGTACGCGTAAATCTCCCGTTCTCACCGATCGATAAAATGCCGCTCGCTGTTCGTCGGAGCGCGGTCGCCACGCTTACGATCGATCGATCATTTGCTCCTAATAAATTGCGCGAGTGTTAACGAGTACATTAGCGAGTAAACTTCTCTTCTCCCCATTGTCAAATTAGGCGCTCCGCGAATTTATACAACATATTTTTATTACGTGCATTTAACGTAGTCATGCAATTTGAAATTTACCGTTAGGGATTTTTGATTCAATGTTATGAAGCTTAACCTTTATTAAGTCGATAACATGAATAAAAAGTAATTGAGTAAGATGAACAAGGAAAACAGAATATAAAATATAAAATAATTTTATCTTTTACTTAAAATATATGATTGAGTAACGATGCACAAAGTAAAGATCAATATAAAGTTATAAATATGTGACATCTAAAAACATTGTATAATCTAGAGATATCTCTGCATTTTTTTCTTATAAATCTTTTTATTTACTTTTAAAATTTGAATTCCATGAAATTACTGCGAAATCGACGATAAAATATCTGATTTTTTTCATAAACCCTTCGTTATTTCGATTTAGGAAAGTTCGACCGATTTTGCAATTATCGAAGAAATAGAGAGACAATTGCATTTGGCTGCGACAAATCGCAATACATAGATAGACAGAGAAAGATGAGAAAAGGGAAAACAACGGAAGCGCGCAATATCAAGTCCAACGTATGGTAATCCAGAATAGTTGAAATCGTTTATTCACCAAGAGATTGACGAGCGTCGAAATATTGTCAAAAAGTCGAAAATAGTTCATACAGAATGTTTCAGAATTTTTATCAAAAATAAACATATATATATAGCGCTATTTTTTTACAAAGTTTAAAATAAACTTCTTCTTTTAACTGTTTTTTCGTAAAAAAAGCAGTTAAAAATGATTTTTCAACTTTTTTAATTTTTAACATTTAATATATCTTAACAATTAAAGTTCAAATAAAAATTCTAAAGTAAATTAAATCTTGTCTTAAATAGGAAAAGAAAGAAAAAGAAAGAAAAAAAAAATAATATTTCATTATTAATTTTAGCGTCTAAAGTTAATGTTAAATTGTTCATTTTAGCGTCTAAAATTTATATTAAATCGCAAAAAAGAGAATTTTTTCAATTAAATTTATATAACCAAAAAATTATTCCAGTTTATTAATATTTTTGTTAACAAAAACTAACATTAAATTTTACAAAAAATATATCGATTTTTTGTTATACATAATTCGAATACCCTGTATGTATCATTATTTATGTTCAAACACTTTTTTAATATATTTCTCTCTCTCTTTCTCTCTCTGTAACATCATGCATTCATACATTTAAAACTTCAATAATTTCATGACAAACAAATTCTGAAAACTACGTGATGATTAAGCACAAATTTGCATTTAATAAATTACTGAGTAATTTTACAATTATATTGCAATCTCTCTCGTTATAAAAGTATTTATAATTGCATCATCAATTATTTACAATTGTATTGCTCAATTATAAATTTTAATCCGTTACTTTTTGCCGAGACTTTATTACTGTTTGATGGATGGTTGACTTCACAATTTTAGTGAAATCACAAATTTTGAAATAATCTACAAAGTACTGTATTTCTATGAAAGTTTTCCGCAAGAAAATGTACTGAAACTTCATCGTTAAAAGAATATAATTAAAATTGACGAACAGCAATCACAAGTTAACAAGGTATTAAGACAAGGCCAGGTTCCTTTTTTCTCATTCACGCAATCTTGCATTTTGTGTTAATAACGCTTGCTTTTCGGTTGATATTTGGTCACGCAAAAGAAAAGTCACGAAGGAAATAAAAGAAAAAAATCTTTTCACGTGAACTGAGTTAAATGAATGAATTTCCACACTACACAATGCAATATTAATAAGATTGAAAAAATTCCATCTGTTTAATCTACATTAATAAATCACTGAGAAAGTAAATTATCAATTATAAATTTATATATATATTTATATATATATAGTTTTCTTACAACTTCTTTACTGTTATTTTCTATTGTTATAGTAATATTCAAACGATATAACAGAACCATATCAAATAAGATTTAAAACTGAAATTTATATCGAATACTTTACATGTACAAGCGTGCAAATTAGAGCGTGTTCTATTTCGTGCAATTAATTGCCGTTATATTACCGCGATACGTGCAATATCTGTAATAGATTATGCAATCGTACCATGATTAATTGCGAGTTATAGTTGTATGTACCGGTATCAACAAAAAGTAAATATATATATATATATATATATATATATATATATAATATATATATATATATGTATATTTATATTTATATTTATATATGTGATAAATTGATTTACCTGCGAATCGCCGACTTCGGACATGCACGATCCACGCACTCCGTCTCAAGATCGATCCTTAGCCGTAAATCTCGATTCTGTAAACGAAACAACAAACACTTTTAATTAAATACATAATTATATTTGATAAAAAAATTTGCAAAAGTATTGTAATTTTTGCATTTTTTCTATTTCCCAGATGCAAAATAATTTGACATTTACTATAGTGTATTGTAATATTTCTTTATTTAACTTTCGGTACTATTAAACAATTTTGATGCAATTTTTCATATTCTCTCATTTCTGATCGAATGGGATTAAAATACGAGGCAATATGTGCTCATAAAAGTTACCTTTCAATTTATTATCACGTCATTTAATCTCTGCCAAATTCTTTACGTTAACAACTGTAAAACGTTTCGTCTCGAAGTACTCGCTTCGACATAAATCCTCTCTGTTAATTGCGCTGTACGTTCGCGCGAGTAATTTCAACTCGCCTGCACGCCCCGGAAAGCGGCCTGACGAAATAATATTCCGACTAAATGGCGGCTCGTGAATCCTGTCCGAATGCGCGATAAAACCAATACCAGCAACGTGTTTACAGTTTTACGAGATGTCAGCAGAAGTTCAACGAAAGCGAGCTACATTTACGCAACATCATGAACTTATATGACATCCTTAACCCTTAACCCCACTTTGCTGTCTAACAATTATTTAAAAAAGAACTCGTAATTTTGATGTTAAACCTTTCCGAAAAAATTAATTAAAAATTTCAAATATACTAAAAACACTTTTCATAATCGTTTTCTTCTCTGTAATTATAGATAATCTATAAATGTAATTTATATATATATATATATATATATATATGTGTGTGTGTGTGTGTGTGTGTGTGTGTGTGTGTGTGTGTGTGTGTGTGTGTGTGTACTGTTAGTTGTCTTTTTTATTATAATTTATATTATAAATTCTAATTGTTATAAAAAAATTTGTATGACATTAAAATATTATAAATATTATACACTTATAATAAATAAATTGTTAAGACACATTATATAGAATTTATATAATTAATTATGATAAATAAATATATAAAGTGTGTCTTACTCTTTAATAAACTTGATCTAATCTTACGAGAAAAACCGTTAATTAATTAATGACGTAGTTGCTCAAAATCTAATCAATCTATGGAGGAATAAACGAGAAAGAGCTTGTTCTTAAAAACTATAAATTTAGGATGTAATTAATTAATATTCTCCGCATACACTGCCATACTTTTCAACTTTTCCCCTTTAAATACACTATATATGTAAAATATAAAAACATGTGCTACTATCGAAATATAATTATCAACATTACGATTGAACTAATTAAGCTGCTAATTAGCTTAGTTAAACAGGCGATTAGTAGCAGCTGTTACATGACATCGGCACGTCTTGGCCAGTATTTGATGTCGCGGATTACGATCCCCTCCCTCTCTCTTCGTCAGCCCTCCTTGACATTGCGTGTCTCCCTGGAGACTTCCTAAGTGTCTGATTAACTTGGTATGAAATTATGTTCCATCTTTACACTCCTCCTTCACACCTAGACTTATGCATCTATCTATATCTAAAAACCTAATGATCCAAAAACCAAATATTTAAAAACTTAGAGATTAAAAACGCAATGATTTACAACTGTAATAATTTAAAGAAAAAATAAAGAAAATGAAAACTGTAATTTAAAAATATATTTTGAAAATTTAATTATATTTAAAATATAAGACTTAAAAAGTTTGATATTTTAAAAATTTTCCTTTTCTGCGAAACAAAATATAACTTCTCGAATGCTCTTTCAGATCATATCTAAGAACCACAAAGTTTAATGATTCAGCTAATTTGAAGATATGCTGAACAGTACGAAGTGCAAACTTAACAAACTAAAAATTCTAAGAGTTCCAAAACTCCAAAACTTGAGTATTCGAGACAAAAACACTCAAGGATACATTGATTAGATCATTTATTTTCTCAAGAACTTCGTCATTTTATAAAGCCGTTCTTGATTCAACGTCAAATTCTTCAAGTCCTTCATCTCTCTTAACAGTTCACACTTTGACTCATCCCCTCAACCAGGTCGACTGCAAGGCGCTACAGCTGCAGTTCTCGCGTGCATCCGCAAGGAGAGAGAGGTGGAGAAAAGGAGGGTTACAGAGAGAATAGGTATGGTGCGGGATGATTGTGGGGGCAAATGTAGGAGGAGGTGGATCGTACATACGTAGCCGGTGTATGCGGTAATGGCGGTGCATACGGTGTACCAGTCAAACGCATACCGTATTGATTTTAATATCTGTGTAGGAAGCGTAGAGATGTGAAGGAGAAATAGAGGAAAAAGAAAGAACAGAAAAAGAGAAATAAAGATAGAGGAAGCTTTCATATGCCATTGAGGCACCTGTAGCTGATGCACTCTTTACGCATTAGTATTTTGTGTATGCCCATTAAAATACATCGACAGGTTTATTTGATTCGACTTGAATCAGTTAAACCTTTGTGCATATATATAGTATCGAGATATATAGTTTTCATATTCTAATATTCTGTAATAATATGTTTAAAATTTAGTGTAAATAAAATAAATGAGCGTAAAGTCATCTACAAATTCTCGAGCTTCAAAAAAATAAGTGTAATTTTATTATTAAAAAACAATTGTACAAGAGAAAAATTAAATTTGCACATTTGATAAAAATTTTGCTAATTCATGAAACTAATTTCAAACATGGAAATGTGGGCGGCAGGGGAAGCTAGGTTTGTAAATGACGAACGCACTAGTGGTAAGTGACAGTGACTAATTAATTAGTATCGAATATTCAATCCAACAAGAGCGATTAAATGCAACACCCAAAAGTACTAATCATCTAGAAATTAGTCAGAGCACAAATATTATATTATAACAGATACATTAAATTATTTCTATAAAGCAAAGGAATTTGAATTCTATAAATAAAATTAAATCCAGATATAATATAACTCGAAATAAAAGAAGAGAAAAAATAACTCTTTCAATATATTAACGTTATTTTACCAGTAACAAAAGTAGTTAGAAAAGATCCAAGCATAAAAGGTTTAAAATCAGAGTTCACTTCTATTTTATCGGTGAATGGATCAAAATTTAATTGTGAATTCAAAAATACATTATTTATCAAATAAACCAAATTATCCCTATTAAAACCACTCATTTAAAATAGTAATTTATATCGGTTTGTTATAATAAAATTATTTATTTTAAAATCCAAAATAGTAATATTCATGGTCTGAGTATGTACTAAAATATTTACTAATAATGAAGTTAATAATTATCATAAGTCGTTAAAAATAAAACTTTTATTTAATATTCAAAAATTATAAAAATTAATAAAATTATCAAACTATCATTTACATTCATCTTAAATAATAATTTACATAACCTTATACAATTAGATTTGAAATCACAACAAAAATAATTGTTAAAACAAACTATTTTCCAATAATAATAACATTTTCCAAAAATTACATTCAAGAAAAAAAATTATTTATTTAATAATTATCGAAAAATTATAAAGATTTAATAAGTATCAATTATATGATTCAAAAAGAATAATAATTTTCTTAATTTGAAAGAGTTAATTCTCGAAATATTAGTAAAATATGAATACAAATTGATATGTATATATTCTTATATATACGTATCAATTTGTATTCAATTTGTATTTTATTAATATTTAGAGAATTAACTTTTTCAAGTTAAGAAAATTATTATAATTATATATACGTATATATTCTTTTTAGAAAGATTTTATATTTAAAATATATCTAAAAACTTAATTTATAAACACTAATTATATATACTTAAATATATGCACATTCACAGTACTGAATACGGAATTATCATATAGAAATATATTTTTGCTCTCGAAAAGATGGCATATAAACAGACTTTATTTTATTTTAGAACATCATTTCATGCTTAAAAAATTGATAAAATTAAAGTTTCTCACACAGTGAACAATTTAAAAGTAATAAAATTATAATTTAAATAGTATTTTATAATAATAAATTTAAATAGTAAAATTATAATTTACGAATTTTTTCTTCAAGATTAAATAGTTCTGAAAGTTTCTTTTCACGAAGCAAAATGATGAAGTTTTCCTTATAGTGAATATATAAGTAAATTATTCGAACAATTTGAGTTTACGCAATCAACAATTACACCATTGAAATTAATTAAGCTCTGTTATTGAGGGCAAGATTTGCATCCATTATATGACTTTGCTACATTTAGCAATTGACAGCGCACTACTATATAACGCATTATTCTGCTCTGTAGGATATTGCGCTTTAGGCGAATCTATAAATTATTTCCATTGCTACTCATTGCTCGTATGATATATTGAGATTTCATTATACAATAGAAATAAAAAATAATAAAATAAATATAGAATATATATATATATTTTTTTTGAATGATTTTTATATTACATATTTTTAATTAATTATTTTTAAATGAAAATATTATAATACTTATAATTTCTTAATGGGAATCGCAAAAAATTTCTTGAACAAACTAAATCTTAAAATTAAAATTATATGTTAAAATCAAATTCTTGAATTAATTTTAATCAGATATTAAATTTAAAAAAATTTAGTTTTAAACTTACTACGATATAAACAATATCAAAAATAAAAAATATAATGAAGAAAACAATACATTATCATTTATTATTATTTATATACTTTTTAAATATTTAAAATACAATCTTCTCAATAATAAAATAAAGAAAAATTTATCAAAAAGATTAATTGAGATAAATCGAAATTAATTGAAAAATCCGAGTTTTAAAACATCTTATATTAAATAAATTGCAATTAATAAATATTAATAAATTTATAAAAAAAATTATTGATATGCGACATGCACGCGTGTATGTGCATGTGTGTGCATGTACGCGGGTGAGATGGATATTATTGTATTTCGAATATACAATTTATATTTTATATAGTAGAAATTTTATACAAAATAGAGATATGTTGATAAAAAGAGCAAATAAATAATAATATATAAAATATATAAAATATATAATGTAATATAT